AAAAATTATGAAACTTTATGGATAGGTGGGGTTCGATTTTAGATGAATTTAGGAAGAAGAAGTGATGGAATCGGAGTTAGCATAGTGGAGATATTAATTGTGCAAGGTGGCCGCTAATTAATCACGAGGAGAGAAAATGAAACGTGATTAGTGGCCACCAAATTGCCACTGGTTATTAGAAAAGGAAAAGGAATAAAGAAATTGGTGGAGTGGATTAATGGCTCATGACTCTTGACTTTACGTGTATAGGAGCCTGAGTTGGTTCTCGGCTTTACTCTTGGCACATGGCATAGGACAAGTCATTGTTGTGGACTTAAACAAAAAGCGAGAGAAAGTGTATACGGCTAGGATTCTTCGAGAGAGACAGAGAGCACCGAAGGCGTTTGTGCTCTCTCGGCTCGTCCACCATGGACAATTCTTGGACTTTCGCTGATGGTGATTCTCGCCATGACTTCCAAATCTAAGGGCATGGGGAGGTAGAAGGGAGGTAGGGGATGTATGGGGACTATCTACCTTGGTCAATTGCAGCTTGAGGAAGGAGATCAACAGAGCGTAGCCTTTCCAGACAAGAACAAAGAAACTCGATTTAGAGAGTAAGATGGTGAGCGGTGGAGTGGGATGGCTCGGCAGGCTTGGCGTGTCCTTTATAGGCAGGAGATGCGGGGCTGGAGGTGGAGCTGGCATTTGGCTAGCTAGTCATGTGAATTGGATTTCACGTGATGAACTTGGAGTGGGTCTTTGGTCATGAGTGCATTAATTCAAATGATAGACTTTGAGTGGTCTTTGGACTTGACGAGCACATCAGGACTAGAGTGTACTTTGGTCTAAACGTGCTTGGTGGTGAGGTGCTGATTCATTCATGCAGGTCAAGGAATTAATGGGGAAGGAGACCACAGGTCAAGGAAACATTAGAGAATGAGAAGATCAATTGCAAATTAGCTACCTCAGCTGATTATTGCAGCTCGGAAGAAATCGATAGACGCAACTTTCACGGACAAGAACAGAGAAACTTGATTTGAGAGAAGCAAGTGAGCAGTGGAGTGGAACGGCTTGGCGTAACCTTTTAATGGCAGGCGACGCGAAGGCGCGACAGCGACGCGTCGTAAGGTTAGCGGCTAACTAGCTTGCTTAAATGTAACAAAGCGATGCTGCGCACGACCGTGGCGTTTTCGGATGAACAGTGTTTCTCAGCTACAACTACCGTGTTTTACCAGGCTTATTACAGCAGATGGTGACTGCCTGACAGTAGTCGTCGTCGGATAGTGAGAGAAGCTAGCTAGGCTGAACAACGAACTGCTTGCATTGACAGTCCCCAGCTCCCACACAGCTTGCTTGTGTGTGTGTGGCGTGCTGCACATGCATCACATTCTTTTCCTAATAACACGTCATAGACTTGACTTTTGTCGTCGTGTACGGCACGGTATATAATGCATGCATGTATACAGGGGACAACTAATTAATCCATGGGAGACTTTGGTGCTTAGCTAGTACACTATAGCAGGAAGACATGACTTAGTTTGCAGGTGCATACCAAGGATGGTCAAGAGCTGCAAGAGGCCATGGAAGTCATGGTTCTCTGCGTGCTACATTGTTTTCTGCGTGCTACAGTGTTTCGTGGGAAGGAAGTGTCCATTTTCTGCGTGCTACAGTGTTTTCTGCGTGCTACAGTGTTTCGTGGGAAGAAACTGGCCATGCTTGGAAAAAGTACATGCACGAACAGAAGCAAGCCGTGGAGATTCAAGCAACAATAGGAGAAACAATGAATATGCAAGTTGGAAAGAAGCCAACAGAAAAAGTACAAGAAAGGGATGGTCAATCAGTAAAGAAGTGTTGTACCAAATACCTCATTATTGTTGTTTTAGTAATAGCCGTGTTAGTTCAAGCTTGCCTTTTGTGGCTTAAGTAGAGTACGTGAAGCGTAACAAGCTATTACTTGCATCTGCTATTAATTCAAGTGCGTGTTTGATGGGCGCGCCCCGACCAACACGACGATTGACTAGGTATATATGCCATGGCCATGGGTCATCCCTTCCGCCAATCCAATCTAGTACACGGTTCGTGATCCGACCGGTCATCGTCGTCAAGCTAGTTGCTACCAAACCAGGTGCAAAACAGCACAACACAACCCTAGAAATTCATATCATCAGGGCTGCATGAGGGGCTGCTGCTGCTCACATGGCTGGCTACAGTGCTCAGCTACCGCGAAATACCAGTACACAAATAATTGGTCAGAGAGACAGAACCAGACTTGCACGAAACGTATGTGAGTGTGTGAGCCTGATGAGCTCAGCTTTAGCTTTCGGCTATCCATCTAGGTGGCCGCGACGAGTGTTTATATACTATACGTAGCTTATAACTGCAGCAATGCAACGTTAATAAACTCTCTAAAGCTCATCTTTCCTTGGATCGCACGATCGCACGTACCACGGCATTAAACAGAGTGGTCATAGAAGAATCTCTGCGTTTGCAGAGCAGCGAACGAGCGGCGTGCTCAGCGGGCCGAGCTTGTAAGTGAGATTAATGCGTAGCGTGTGCGATGTTGTTGTTATGGTCGGCAGCACTATCGTTATTATTTCAGCTCTTCAATATTCATCAAGCCAACTATTTATATTTTTAAACACGACTAAAGCACTAAAGTTTGTTACTCGATATTTTAACCGTAACCAAAATCATACTCCAAATTTTACTTAAGAACTCTATACCAGTCAAATCGTATTTTTGGTTATAAAAATTGTTTTCATGTTTAATCCAACAGAACAAGCCATTAACCATTTATTTGCTAGAATCGTTATCGAATATTCCTAAATATTTCTACGCACTACGTAATTTAATTTGAGCGTTTATTTGAGTCCACAAAACTAAGTCACACATGATTCGCTTATCACCTCAAGTACGTTTAAATTAAAAACCCGATAGAACTCGATTTGGAAATTTTTCTTAGGCCTAAATCATGGTGCTAAACAAATTCGTAACACTAGGGGTGTTACACTTCCGCTTCCAAACGATAGTAGGGAAATTGCCCATGCGTGGATATCTCCCCTATGGTTTGGACGGGGATTCTACTGTCAAGAAAATCCCTGCCCTCCGATTTGTTCCCAGGGTTAATCACCCTATGGCCGCCAAAGTAGCCCTGAGGGTGGGTTTAGAAGGGAAATGTCGCTCGTCGTCATTGTTTATTGCCTTCGACACAGCCGATGCCAGCGATTACGGACGAGGTGTGAGCTACATCTTGTGCCAGCGATTGCGGACTAGTGCCTTGGCGAGAGGAGCGGCGGGGCAGGTGGCAATGCGGGAGCAGGAGAGCAGCAAGCATGGCTCTTTCGCCGGATCTAGGAAAATACGAGATACAACCGGGCCACCTCGCTGGAAGGAGCTGCCGGTCCCTGCTCACCTGAAGGCCGGCCTCGCCGCCAGCCAGGAACCCGTCCGTGCAGCAGGCATCGCCCAGGATCCCGTGACGTCCTGCTCCCTCGCAAGGAAGCCGCCCGGTCGGCTGCACCGGTCCCAGCAGCCGGCGCCGACGACCTGCATCCCGGCTAGGCACTCCCCTGAGACGCATCTCGCTCGCCGAAGACACATCTCGCTCAGGTGCTTCCTGCTGGGGCGCTGCGTCCGCGATGAACCGGGGGCAGCTGCTGCTCCCTCCCACATACGCCACATTCGTAGACACAGATGCACCCGCTCGTCATTCACCCGAGTGTCATCGTAATCAAGAGTCAATCTTTCGAGTGTCTTTGCAATTTTTTCCCACCGGTGCCCCAAAAGCAAACGAAGAAGAGGAGGCCAGGAGCTATCGTTATTTTTTAAAAAACTATTACTACGTGGGCACCATGTCTAACCCAGACCTAGACCCAATAGCCAAACAGAGGACTGGATGTCAAGTCTTTGTTTCCCCATTCCTAACCCACCTCTCCATAACCCAGCTCAGACTCTCTCCAGCAGGCTATGCATCACGCGACCTATACCCAAAATGCCTAGTTCACATGAAAGAAACGGCCTCCTACAGAGTAGGCAAAGGGAAGACCCAGTTTGCGTCGGAGGTGAGAGTGAACTCAAAAATGCGTATGTCTCTCTCCTCGACCCAAATTGACGATAGGAGGAGAAGCTCGTCGGACGCGACTCTTGCTCCGAGGAGGATCACCGGCAAGAAGCACGCGCGGACTAGGAGCTTCTCGTCGTCCATGACCACGAGCAGGAACCGCACCGACGTCGGGTGGCGGCGGGCGCTGTCGCAGGAACCACCACCGTTAGAGCCGGACGCCTCCAATGAGGAAGCGAAGAAGGAAAGCCTGGCGCGGCTGGCAAGCGACGACCACACCACAGACGAGACCTGGGGCGTCTTTGCGGCGAGGAACTCATCTGTGAAAGGGCACGGGTCCACGGGCAAAGCGGCGGCGGGCTCGAAGCTCCACCGGTCTCTGCCGGAAGGGAGGGGAGAGGAGGAAAGGAAAAAGGAGAGAGGGAAATAGGGCCTTGGGAAATGGGTGAGCTCCCGTGGCTGGCAGTGCTTTAGTCTTGAGTGGAGGTAGGTGGCATTGTGTGGCGTCGTGGTGCAGAGCGAGCGAGAGGAGCCAGAGTAGCAGTGTGGCGGAAGAAGCGATGGCGGCCCGGCTCAATGAGGAAGAAGCACAGGGGTGAGCGGTGGTGGTGGAGCAGAAGCAGAGAAGAGGAGATAGAGGGAGAGCAAAGCGGAGGGCCGCCGACGGGGTGCTTGGCAGCTCGCTGGCTCCATCAGTGAAGCGGCTTGACGCTTTCGGCCTCAGTGGAGCTTCTGAGCGAGGCGGCGGCAAGGGTGTGGGAGCGAGTAGAGATGGGGAGAGAGAGGAGAATGGAGGTGGAGCAGAGATGGGCGGAGTTGCAGAGTAGGGTGACGGCGCATGCAGGGACCCTTTGGATTGGCTGTTGGAGAAAGAAAGATTTAGCTGGGTAACCTTTTACTGTCCCGAACTCAAAACGTATAGAATGGATTTTATGTTTGGGTTTTTCCATCGGAGACAGCCTCATATCCATTTCCCTATCCAGAGCTCCATCCAAACGCACCGCGCCGCAGCTATCCCGCCCGCGCCCGCGCCCGCGCCCTGCGGCCGTCGCGACGCCACAGCCCGCACCGGAACGTCGCTGGCCGCAGGCCTCCAACCCGCCGCCCGCTTGCCGCTGACCGCCCAACCCGCCTCCCACTCGCCGCTCGTCCTGGGGCTCGGCGCGACCCCGCGACCCCGCGCGCAAGTGGCGCAGCGCGCTCGGTCGCCGCTCGCTTGAGGGCTCGGGCTCGACGACGGCGCCGCGTACTCTGAAATCCTGGGTCCGCCACTGCGTCCCTCCACCGAGAACCTCAGCCTTTCCTTCCTCCCATCGCTTTGTTTCCAAGAGTCCATGTTTCTCTCCCCTGACCTGTCGCTTGCCTGCGGCGTCGTCGCCTTCCCATGGAGGCCCTCATCCCAACTAATCCCACGGGTCCCCTTCCGCTGCACCCTCACATGCAACGCAGCGGCGCCCAAAGTGCCCCTCCCCATCGCCTCGCCAGCCTCCCTCGGGGACGACCCTAGCAAGTGGGACCCCGCCGAGTGCGACGCCCTCCTCCGCGGCGGGGAGCAGGTCGCCTCCGTGCTGCAGGAGATGCTCACGCTGGTCAGGATGCCCTTCCACCGTTTTTTTTGCCCTTCCACTGTTTCTTCGGTTGCTTCACTGAATCACTGACGACGATTACTAGTATGAATTTATGAAATGAACACAGTGCTTCATAGAATTGCGTAGTTTCTCGGATTTACAATCTTATTAGGTCGTTATTTATATTACAAAAAAGTTAAGCTGTTCCGCAATGAACTGTTCCACTAGTTTGTTTCGTGGCCAGAGAGTATGCTAATGGAGTTGTGAAAGCTTAGCCCATTGCTACAGTTAATTTATCCTCCATTTCCTTTCTTCTACGGCTTACTAGTTTGTTCTAGATTATAATTCACTCTAAAATTGTCCAAGAACTATCATTGGGGGAGTCTTGAATGCTGAATGTGCTTAAGTGTTAATCTCATGTAGTTGTGCAGAATATAACTGCTATTCATGTGGTCTGACTACATGGCTATACCTTATAATTGTATTATTGATATTGTTCTTGTATGTGGTTGGTCGTTGGTGTTTCTAGATGGAGGACATGGAGATGGATGGTGCATTTGAGCCGGTTGCTGTGGAGCTGGTGGCACAGGAGTTATTGGGAAGAGGGTTGACGAGATGGAGTCAGGCTTTCTTATGGCACTTGATTACATGATACAACTTGCACAGAAAGACGCAGATGATGAGGTACTTGATTGAGTCATTGCCTAACTCAGCCAAAGTACTTGTTTGCATAACACATTATTTATTCTTCACTAGGCGTCATTGTAGAGAGAGAGCGGAACACCTCACACGCCTTGGGTTGGGCTTTCATATATATAGTCACAAGGACTTCAGTACAATTACAATTAGACCCCAAAATATATACATATCTAACACCCCCGCAGTAGTAGCGGGAGGTTCACAAACGCATAGACTAGACCGAAAATTAGTAAATAATTGTATAGGCATGCCCTTAGTCATGATATTTGCGAACTGATGTGAGGATGACACATGCAGAACACGAACTTCACCAAGCGCGACCTTCTCGTGGATGAAGTGAATGTTGATCTCGATGTGCTTGGTCCGGCATTGATGAGTGGGGTTAGCTGTCATGTATACAACACTGACGTTGTCACAGAAGACAACCGTGGTGGAGGGTAGCGGTAGATGGAGCTCCCGGAGAAGCTGGCGCAACCAGCAACAATCGGCGAAGGCATGGGTGACGGCATGGTACTCTGCTTCAGCACTAGAGCGAGAGACAGTGGTCTGACGCTTGGACGACCATGACACCAAGTTGTCGCCGAGGTAGACGCAGTAGCCCGATTTGGGGCGGCGGGAGTCGGGTCACCCTGCCCAGTCCGCATCTAATATGAGAGATTGGACAGGACCAGTGCCAATGTGTAGACTAGCAGAAAGAGTGCCCTTGACGTAGCGGATAATGCGTTTGACAAGGGCAAGGTGCGGCCCTCGAGGGTCGTGCATGAAGAGGCACACCTGCTAGAACGCATAGGCCAGATCCAATAAGGCACTGTAGCGCCTCGGCGAGGCTACCATACTCTTATGGGTCGACGACTGGGGCACCATCTGTAGCTGAGAGCTTGGACTTGGAGTCCACAAGTGTCGTGGTGGGATGGCACTCAGACATGCTAGCACGCTGGAGAAGCTCAATAGCATGGTGGCGCTGCGAGAGGAATAGTCCGTCGGTGGAGCATGTGACGGAGATGCCGAGGAAGTGATGGAGCACGCTGAGGTCAGTCATCACGAACTCGAGCTGAGGCTTGCAGTGATGCGACATAGGAGGTCCGATAAGGAGGCCATCAGGACGATGTCGTCGACGTAGAGCAGCAAGTAGGAGACGTTGTCTCGATCTTTATAAATAAAGAGAGACGTATCACTTGTGGATGGCGTGAATTCGAGTTGGCGAAGATATGGCAAGCCGCTGGTGCCACGCACGGGGAGCTTGCTTCAGGCTGTAGAGGACTTCTGCAACAAACAGACATGATCAGGTGCAGAGGGATCGACAAAGCCAGGAGGCTGCTAGTAGTAGACGGTCTCCTCAAGATTGCCATGGAGAAATACATTCTTGAGGTCAAGTTGGTGAATCGGCCATGACCGTGAGGCAGCGATGCTCAGGACGATGTCTCATCATAGTCCACGCCGTGCTATTGGGAGAAACCGCGAACGGCCCAGCGAGCCTTATGGAGGGCGAGCGACCCGTTGGTGTGGTACTTATGCTTGTAGATCCACTTGCCGATGACGACATTGGCGTGAGGAGGCTGGGGAATGAGGTGCCAGGTCCCGAAATCGATGAGTGCCCGATACTCATCAGCCATGGTCGCACGCCATTGCGGGTCAGCCAGAGCACTGCGGTAGTTGGAAGGCAGGGGCGAGGCGACGGCGGTGGAGACAAAGGCGCTGCTATAGTCGACCGGCCAGATCTCGGATGGCGCCTGTCTGTAGCCTCATTGCAGCTCGTCCCGCTGCCGGAGCAACACGAGGCGCATGTGGCGGGGTGGTGCACTGGGGGCGCCAGTGGCGCACCCGGAGCCATGACCGCCGGTGGCGCCGATGGTGCCGGTAGCGTGGTGGCTGTGTTCGGTGATGGCGGGGCACCGCGGCGCACGTAGACGCGGCCGAGGGTGGTGTTGGTGGCGCAAGTGGAGCGGGAGGACCGCGGACGATCACCGTGGGGTCGTCCAGGGGAGATGAGCCAGACAGGGGCACGTGACCATGCCTGCCGGGCTGAGTGGGCGCGTCACCCGTGAAGGGTGGGGCGACCGCGTCGCTGTCATCGACGAGGAAGTCGAGCGAAGTTGGGGTAGACGGACCTGCAGAGTTAGTGGAGAAGGGAAACAACATCTCATCAAACGTAACATCGCGGGAAATGATGATGCGGCGTGATGAGAGATCAAGGCAGCGATATCCTTCGTGGGAAGAAGGGTAGCCGAGGAATACGCAGGCAGCGGACCATGGAGTGAGTTTATGTGCAGAAGTGGCACTAAGGTTTGGGTAGTAGAGGCACACGAAGACATGAAGATGGGACAGGTTAGGCTGCTGACTGTAGAGGCGAGAGAAGGGGATCTCATTGCGTATGGCAGAGCATGGGCGGCGATTAAGAAGATAGGTGGCTGTGGTGTGAGCTTCGGCCCAGTAGGCAGAAGGCATGGAAGAATGGAGGAGAGCTCACTATATTGTTGATGGTGCACAGGCTGCGCTCGGCCTACGTGGGCTCCGTCTGGGAAGGGCAGGGCGCGATTCCCGCATGTGAGAGACGACCGCATGCGCATGAGTGATGCTTGGACGCGTGAGGACAACCGAAGGGAAGGAGCGGTTCGGAAGGGGGCGCACGCGTCAGCCGCGTGTGCGCGAGGGAGATGCGGCCGCGTGGGATCAGGGAGGGGAGGAGTCAGCGCGTAGGAGATGGCCGTACGCGAGCAGCGCGTGGGGCCAGGCAGGGGGAAGAAGTCAGCGCGCGCAGGAGATGGCCACGCACGAACAGCTCGTGGGACTAGGGAGGGAGGGGGGAAGAAGTCCGTGTAAGAGAGAGAGGAGGTGGTCGCGCGGCTGAGGTGCAGCGGCCACACGCGCAGACAGAGGAAGAGTGGTGGGAGGGGCTAGAGCAGCGGACGGAAAGGAACCCGGGCTTCCTTTATGATGTAGAGAGATAGCAGAGCACCTCACACCCCTTGGGTTGGGTGGCGGCTTTCATATAATATAGTCATAAGGACTTCAGTACAATTACAATTAGACCCCTAGATATATACATATCTTTCAGTCATCCACTCATTTGCCTATCTTTGTTAAATAGCATAATTCAGCTATGTATTTTGTCTTTGCCATATTCTAAATATTTTTATACCTCGCAAAAAAAATATTTTTATACCAATAAGGTATATCGATGTTTCTTTAACTGTAACAGAGAAAAAAAATATTATTACTAGTGGGTCCAAAGTTGTTTATATTTATTCATGTTAAAGTTAGTACTTGTTGCTTTAATTAGAAGATGCATAAGTCAAAGGGACCTTTCAGATTGCTGTGTTGATGTGATAGCCGTAAAATCCATGTATGCTTCGAGACATTGTTGTCAGACTGGAGTGCTTACTAAATCCTGCTATATGCATATTTCCCCTTAGCTTATTCTACATGCTTTACATGCTTGTCTTATGATGGCAGCGTAAGTCTCTTCTTGAGGTAATTAAGCAGACAGTGCTAGACCATCTGACAAAGAAATGTCCTCCACATGTAAGTGTTGTTTCAAGTGCCCAGTGTTATCTGCTTATATGTGTGTATGGATGTGGGCGTGTTTGTGTCTTCTGACTGGTGGTGTTGTATTTTACAAACCAGGTCCAGGTTGTTGGACTCCTTTGCCAGACTGAAAAGAAAGAGAGCAGGCATGAATTGTTGCGCCGTGTAGCTGCTGGTGGAGGTGTTTTTAAGAACGATAAAGGTCTTAAGTGCCAAATTCCTGGGGCAAATCTTAGTGACATTGCAAATCAGGCAGATGATCTACTAGAGGTAAGTTGAAAAGCATGAGTACAGGCATCCTTTACTGATGGCCTTCCATGAAATAACACAATCTTCATAACCTGATTCTTCGCAATGAAACATTTTCTTTTCCGTAAGTACGTTCAATGATAAGTTGATAGGAGGAGAGTAAAACCTAATTACAATGTAGACTCAGACATTCAGTACACATATATACTCATACTAAAGAGTTCTGTCCTAGACAGGTTTAGACAGATGCCAGTTCATAGATGGACTATGAGACTGTATGACATGTTACATGCTATTATCTTACAATTCTCATTCAATTTTGTGAATGAACAATATTGTTGGTGCATTGAGCATTGGCTTCAGATGCTATATGTTACTCCCTCTGTCCTAGAATATATCTAGTTTTAGACTTTTCCAGACAGATTAAGAAAGCGATTAAATGTCTAAGTTGCCCTTCATTATCTTGGTCAAGTTACATGCGCCTGATAGCCATGTATCTGGTGGGCAGCGCTGCCTAGCATATTTGTTGAAACAAGGAAACCTGCATATTTGTTTGTGCTGCCTGCCATATTTGTGTTTGCATGCTGAGAAGGAAAAGGCAAAGCGAGGGGTATTTATGAGAAACCACCCCTTGGACCCCCCATCAGAACTCAGATATAGCTGTATTTTGGGACAAAGTTTGAGTTATAAATAGCTAATTCTAGGATGGATGGAGTACACTATTTTTGAATCGCTGATGATGGCATGCCTAAAATGAACTTAACACCCAGCCTCTTTGGAGTGGTCCTTGTGACCCAGATCATGTGGTGTAGTAGTGGGCTACCCCGACATTGGAAATTCAAAACAAGTAATGCTAGCAGGCGCATGGCTCCAATATCTCAGCTCCTGTTAACCCCTTTATGCAAAGTTAGGACAATGCAAAGAGTCAATTCTTGACAGGGTGTTATATAAAGATACAAAGGAATATTTCTACGGTTTGCTCTTCAAGAAATAGACAAATGTCAAATTGAAAGCATTGGCTTTACTATTATGTACACAGCACCAGGCCCGCAACTAGCAAATTTTGGACATCTTGTTTGTATGGTACTTGTTTCTGTTAAATTCAATTCCCCTCATCCTCAAGTCATCCAATCTTATACATATCATTTGTTACTTTGAGGTTTGTATGAGAATGCATTGTATTAATACCAAAGTAGATCCATACACAATTCAAAAACTATGAAGTAATCATGAAAATAGAGATTTGGCGAAGCTAACCACAAACACCAAGTTCATTGAACTTCCAACCCTAGGGAGATGCTGGGAGCTGAATGTAGGGTACCAGTCAACTGGAAGTCTTCAAGTGATGCAGGATAGAACTTTAGAGAGTCTGCTGTTTTGAACCATGGGAACTTGGTGTTAGGCGTGCGCATGTCAAATACGCAAAACATAGGAACTTGGTTGCCCCCTAGCAAAAGGGGGTCGCAGTGATCAGGCCCGTGCAAAATCTATCCCTTTTTAGTTAAAGGAATTTAATTGGTTAGCATAAAATAATATCTAATAAATAGAAAATCGAATAGTGGATAATCCGTTATGAAAGAAACGGAATACATTCTTTGAGCAAACGCTCTTTTTCCTAAATTAAAATATGGGTTAGGCGGGCGCATGTCAAATATGCTGGATATAACTGGAGTATATATATAAAAAAACTTGATCAACCTAAGAGGAACTAGGAGACATTTTATTAAGAGGAAAATAGGCACCCAAATTTGCCTCGATGAGGACTTGAACTTGGGTGGTCTAGGCATACACCCACACCCTCGACCAACTGAGCTAGCTCAGCTTCATTATATAACTGGAGAATACGTTTTGTTTCAATAGAAATTGTTATGACCCTAGATCATAGCAGTAAACACCACCAGGAAGATAGCTAGGCAGAGTCGACTTGGAGAGAGACTAGGGGCTTGTTTGCTTGGTGCCTACTAGGTAGTTGGGAAGCCAATCAAAGATCTAGACCCTAGGCCAATGAAATCTAACACCTGGGATCTTTTGCCTGGCTAGGCAACTTTTGAATCCTCCAAGCAAACGAAGGTGAAGCTGCGGGTGAGGAAGCTGTGGCGAGCCATCGAGGACGGTACCGAGGACGAAGAAGAGGACTCCGCGGCAATGGAGGCGATCCTGTGTGCCGTGCCTCACGAGTATGTGGAGCCACTGGGGACCAAGGCTTTGCCAAGGCTGCCTAGGACGACCTTAAGGCCATGCGCGTCGGCTCGGACCGTAAAGAAAGCGAAGAAAGCAATTGTTGCAATGAGTACGAGGCGATGGCGTTTTCGTGATGGCGAGGCGGCGGAAGACTTAAATCCTCGGTGCGATCTCTCATCCACCAATTGGCGGCTTGGCGTCACCATCACCGACGAGGAAGCGGTCGCCAAGTACGTATGGGTGTGCCCTGCAGGTATCCGTAGATCGCGCTCTTTATAGAGACATCGATCGACTGCCCACCTCTCTCTCAAGGATGTGACAGGTGCTTGAAGGCGCCGAGGACCGAGAGGCGGCGACAACGATGGATGGTGACATTGTGCCGATAGAGGAGGTGGGCGGCTCGCATGCACGAGTGGCGGTCCTAAGAAGGCTCCTCCAGCCGCGGCGGTGATGGGAAGCGCCGCGACAAGACCTCGCAGAAGAAGGATGATGGTGACGACGACGCTACCGCTGCTGCGTCGATCGGCAAGGATACTCGTCGACGATCAGGGGAAGACAGGCATTGGGCCGAGATTGTAAGACTCCCAAGGAGGAGCAGCGGAACTTCGCGTTGGTGGCCGACAAGGAGCCCACGCTCCTGACGGTGCAGTTCTATGCATGACGCCGAGGAGCCGGTGTCGAGGGAGGAGTTGAGGGCTGTGGAGCAGAGGAAGGTGAAGCAGAGCATCCTCCTCGACGAGTTGTGCGCCCAAGTCCGTGATCGAAGTGAGGGCGGCGGTGCGGAGCAGAGGTGGTACACGGACTCGGGGCCAACAACCACATGACCGGCGACAAAGGGCGCGTTCTCGGAGCCGGACGGGCGGCGGTGTTCTCGGCCCGTGAAGTTCTACGATGGCTTGTCATTAGACATCTGCGGCCTCGGCACCATCATCTTCCGGTGTCAGAATGGGGAGCACTGTGCGCTGATGGATGTGTACTACATCCCGAAGTTCCTATCGAGCATTATCAGCATTGGGCAGTTGGACGAGCGCGGGTGCGAGGTCCTCGTCAATAGCGGTGTTCTACGCATCCGCGACCGAGTGTCATCTTTTCGCCAAGTTATAGCGTTCTAGAAGCCATTTGTATATGTTGAATTTGAAGATTGTGTAGCCAGTTGGCTTGGCGGCGTGGCAGAATGAGGAGCCGTGGCTATGTCACGCTCGGTTTGAACACCTAAGCTTCGACGCACTCGGAAGGGTAGAGCAGATGGTACGCGGGCTGCAGCGCATCAAGCACGTGGGCGAGCTGTGCGACAGTTGCCTGGCGGGCAAGCAGAGGAGGCTGCCTTTCCCCAAGGTGGCCAAGTACCGCGTCGGCGGCACACTGGAGCTCGTCCATGGTGATCTCTGCGGGCTAATCACTCTAGCCATGCATGGAGGGTGGCGGTACTTCCTGCTACTTGTCGACGATTGCAGACGGTTCATGTGGGTACAGCTCCTAGAGAGCAAGGATGAGGCAGCGGCGGCGATCAAGGCTTTCCAGGCTCGAGCAGAGGCGGAGTCTAGGAAGAAGCTGTGTGTGCAGAGGACGGACCGTGGCAGCGAGTTCAGCTCAGTAAGATTCGCGGAGTATTGTGCTGATCGTGGCATGGCGCACAATTTGACCGCACCCATACCCGCCGCAGTAGAACGGCGTTGTGGAGCATCGGAACCAGACTGACGTCGGCATGGTGTGCAGCATGATGAAGGCAAAGCGCATGCCGGTGGAGTTCTGGGGGTAGACAGTGAGCATGACAGTGTTCATTCTCAACCACGCGCTGACGAAGATCTTGAAGGGCATGACGGCGTTCGAAGCTTGGTATTGGAGGAAGCCCGACGTCTCGTTTCTGAGAACGTTCGGGTGCGTCGGCCACATCGAGGCGATGAAGCCACACCTGACCATGCTAGAAGACAGGAGCACCATACGAGGCTGGCAGCAAGGCGTACCGACTGTTTGACTCGCGCGGAGGCAAGGTTGTCATCTCGGGCGACGTGGTGGTTGACTAGAAGGCTGATAGTTAAGCCTAGTGTTTGTATCTTACTTTTCCTATCATTTACCTTGGTTGCTAATAGCCTAATATTAGGAATATGCTCAGCACCCCTTTAATGGTTAGGAAAATGCTGTAGCAGGCGAGTGGGAGAGGTGAGGGGGAGGGGGAGAAGAGCCATCTGCTCTATAAAAGCAGTGGCATAGACCACTTTGTATTCAGCTATTGCAACAACAACAACAACAAAGCCTTTTAGTCCCAAGCAAGTTGGGGTAGGCTAGAGTTGAAACCCAACATGAGACCCTAGTCACGGTTCAGGCACGTCAATAGCTGTTTTCCAAGCACTCCTATCCAAATACAGATCTCAAGGGATAACCCAACCCTTTAAATTTCTTTTAATTGCCTCCTCCCATGTCAGCTTCGGTCTTCCTCTACCTCTTCTCACATTGATATCTCGACTTAGAACTTCACAACGCACTGGTGCTTCTGAAGGTCTCCTTTGGACATGGCCAAATCACCTCAACCGATGTTGGACAAGCTTCTCTTCAATTGGTGCTACCCTTAGATGGTCACGTATATCATCGTTCCGAACTCGATCTATCCTTGTGTAACCACAAATCCAACGCAACATACGTATTTCCGCGACACTCAGTTGTTGGACATGTCATCTTTTTTTAGGCCAACATTCTGCGCCATACAACATAGCGGGTCTAATCGCTGTTCTATAAAACTTGTCTTTCAGCTTTTGTGGTACCCTCTTGTCATAGAGAATGCCAGATGCTTGGCGCCACTTCATCCACCCTACTTTAATCCTATGACAAACGTCTGCATCAAC